AAGGATCCAAAATAGGGAGGAAAAGACACAAAATAGAGAGAAAAGACGCAAAAGACGGGGAAAGGATCCAAAACAGGGGGAAACGTCCAAAGTGGGGAGAAAGGACCCAAAATCAGAGGACAAAGGGTGTCACAGGAACAAAGCTCTTCCTGCACTTGGGGTACTCGCAGGGCTGCCCTTAGTGCAGGCTCTGTTGGTGCCTGCTCAAGACAGAGCTCTGACACAAGCTCTTCCCACACTCAGAACACTCGTAGGGCCTCTCCCCGGTGTGGATGCACCAGTTGCTGATGAGAGCAGCGTTCTGCTTGAAGCCCTTCCTGCAGTCAGGGCAGCGGAAGGGCCTCTCATCTGTGTGAAGCTGCTGGTGCAGGAGGAGAAAGGAGCTGGTCTGAAACCTCTTCATGCATTTATCACACTCATAGGGCCTCTCCCCAGTGTGGATCCTCTGGTGGTCAATCAGGTGGGACTTTGACATGAAGCTCTTCCCACACCGCCCACATTTGTAGGGCTGTTCCAGCCCTGTGTGGACTTCCATGTGGCGGGCCCGGTGGCACCTCCTCTGGTAGCTGTTCCCACATTCCCCACACTCAAAAGGCCGTTCCCCAGTGTGGTTTCTCTGGTGGATGGTCAGTTCAGAGCTCGTCCTGAAGCTCTTCCCACACTCTGCACACTCGTAGGACCGTTCCCTCGTGTGGGTCCTCAGGTGGGCAGTCAGGGTGGAGTTCTGGGTGAAGCTCTTTCCACACTCAGGACACTCGTAGGGCCTCTCCCTGCTGTGGATGCGCAGGCAGTGATGAGGCCGGAGTTGTTCCTGAAGCCCTTTGCACAATGGGGGCAGCAGAAGGGTCTCTCACCTTTGTGACTCCACCGATGCCTGACGAGACAGGAACTCATCTGAAACCTCTTCCTGCATTTATCACACTTGTAGGGACTCTGTGTGGATTCTCATGTGGCGGATCAGGGAGGATCTCAGGGAGAAGCTTTTCCCACATTCTGAGCACTTGTGAGACTTCTCCCCAACCTGGAGCTGCTCATGGACCCCCACCTCAGAGCTCCAGCTCCCTCCCTGGCCCAGGGTGGGTCTTTCCTCCTCAGATCCGTGTGATCTGCGTTTGCAGACTCTCCTCGTGAGAGATCTATGGGGCTTTTCTTTCCCTTTTGATGCATGTGCTGTGGAGCTGCACAAAACAACTTCCACAAGGTTCTGCTGTGGGGATTTGACCTCCCTGGTCTCTGGCCTCAGCTCCTTGTCTGGGGAAGGAAGGACAAGGAGAGGATGGGATTTGCCTCCGTGCCACAGGGAAGGACAAGGAGATCCTCCCAGTGTGTCCCCAGCAGGACAGCTTTGGCAGCAGGGTTGTCCTGCAGCCGGGGGCCGTGCTGGGCTGGGAGATGGAGCAGGAGAGAGGGGGAAAGGGGCACTGACTTCCTCCTCACCTGCCTGGGGCTCCCGGGCCATCTTCCTCACAGCCTCCTCCTCCTCCTGCATCAGGCCAAGGTTTGGGAATGGGGAATCCTGGTTTGGGGGAAAACAAGGGCTGAACGCATTGGATTTGATGTTCCCGCTGCCCAAGAGCAGCTGGAGAAGTCAGCGCCCCTTTCAGCCTTGGGGGGCCTGGAGTCCGCTCATCCCCAGCCTCCCGCACCCCTCCAGGCAGCCGGTTTGTCCCCCGGCTCCGGGATCGCCCCTCTGCGCTCTCCCCTCTCCGGGGCTCCCGAGCTCCCCCCGGCTCTCCCGGGCATCTCCCAGTCCGAGATCGCCCCTGTGCCCACCGGTACCAGGCGAACGTGAGGCTGTTCCCTCCACGGGAAATTCACAGTTCGGGTTTGAGGTCCTGCAAGAGTCAAACATCCCCTGCCCCACGAACCACCCCCCCCCCCGGAGACCCCCCCACGATGGATCTGGTGCGAGCTCCCCCATCCCGCTCCCCTGCGGCTCTTGGAGGGGGCGATGCAGCAGGAACCGGGGGAGCTTCGGCCTGAGCAGCGGGGGAAGGCGGCGGGGAAACCAACGTGGTTCTGCCGCTCCTCTTCCTTCCGCTCCTCCTCTTACTCCTCGTCTGTTCCTCGTCTTCCTCCCGCTTTTCTTTCACTCCTAGCCCGGCCCGGGCAATGCTGACACCCAAAAGCAGCCACGCTCTGCCCTGGGCGGGTTCCGAAACAGCAGAACAGTGAAACTGGGGAGTGAAACTGGGAGTGAAATAAACAGGGGTAGGAGACTTCTTCTCCTTTTTAATACCTTTATTAAAAGTGATCAGCTCAGGATTGGGCAGCTCGACAGGTCTGCAGCATCTGTCATCTCTCCCAAGGGGACTCAGAGGAGGAGGATATGCACAGCTCTGTCCACAAGGGGCAGAGCTGGGGATCAGATCCTCGTGGGAGCCTTTACGGCCTGCTGATCCCCGTCAGATGGTACTTTTGCCGGCTGTCTCAACAGGCCCTCATCTCCGAGGGCTTCTCCCATGGTCAGGGCGAGAGTGTCCGAAGGTGTTCCGCGTCTCTGCAGGCTCGGCACTCGGCTCCTCACGTCCAGACATCACTCCAGTCTCTCAACTCTTAGGTGGCTCGTTGTTTTTGGGGTTTCTCCGTACAGCGGGGGACCCATGCTGCATTGTGGTTTTGGAGTCACTTTGCATAACCCCCCCCACCTTCTCGGGTCCCTTCTACTGTTCGGGAAGGTTCCCACCCTTCTGGGAAAAGTACACCTTAGCCTCGGGCGAGGCTCTGCTGATACAAAAGGAGCGATTAGCCACAACGACTCGTGATTACAATAACAAAACACGAAGAACTTCAGCAGCTACAGTGATCTGGCTGCTTTTTGTAACTTTTTCTCACAAAAAAAATATTACCCGAATTTTGTTCATAACAGGGAGCACTGGGAAAGATCCTAAAAGCCGCGGGAAGGAACTGGGAGCGCTTTCCCTGCGAGTCCCGCTCTTACTGGGAGCACTGGGAGGGAACTGGGAGCAAACAGCGCCCGGAGGCGGCTGCAGCCGGCGGGGCCACCATAGAAGGCGTGGTTATGAGGAGAGCGGTCGCACACTGGGATTGGTGGGTGGGAGCAGCGCGGGGTTTACTCGGTTATGTGAGGGCCGGAGGGGCTGGAGCGATGGCGGCGGCGTGCGGTGAGAGGGGACAGGGAGCGGGAATGGGGACAGGGAGCGGGAATGGGGACCGGGAAGAGGAATGGGAATGGGGACATGATCAGAAATGGCACCCGGAACTGGAATGGCACAGAGAATGGCGACAGGGACCAAGAATTGGAATATGGATATGGGACAGGGAATATTGAAATAGAAATATGGGAACAGGAGCGGGTCCGTGAATAAGAGAAGGGGAACAGAGACTTGGAATATGGGACAGGGAATGTGACTGGGAATGGGATTCAGGCTGGGATGGGAGCGGAACGCTACCAGGGTGACATGGGAATGGGTGGGTGAGACGGGGGTGACAGCAGGGAGAGGGGGATCCTGGACAGGGGACACTGGCAACCAGGACAGAGGGACATGGAGACAGTTCCAGGGCAGGGGGTCCTTGATCAGCTGCCCCACAACTTTCGCCAGGGTCTCCCCGCACTTCTGCAGCTACTGGGCCTGTTCTGCCCAAAGCCCTGAGCAACCCCTAAATCCCTCCCAGGAACCCTCACCTCCCTCAAACCCAGCATGGCCCCCATCCCCTGTAAGATCCCCCCATGTCCCCATCAATGGCTTATTTCAATGTCTTTATTTTTACCCCGGTTTTGGGTGTTTTGAAGGGACAAAGAGAAATGAAAGGAAAATCCAGGCCATGGGGTGCCAGGAGGATGTGAAGCCCACAGACCAGTGATTACCAAGATGGATCACTGGCACCAGGGATTGCCCGGGCTCTGCCCAGCGAGGGTCACTTGGGATCAGCCAGGGTGGATCCCTCTGTGGGGGATGGTGTTCGAGCAGTGCAGGAAGCTCTTCCTGCCCTCGGGGCACTCATGGGGCTGCCCTTAGTGATGGCTCCTTTGGTGTCTGGCCAAGTCACCGCTCTGAGAGAAGCTCTTCCCACACTCAGAACACTCATAGGGCCTCTCCCCGGTGTGGATGCGCCGGTGCTTGACGAGGGTGCAGTTGTGCTGGAAGCCCTTCCCACAGTCGGGGCATCGGAAGGGCCTCTCATCTGTGTGAATGCGCTGGTGCAGCAGGAGATGGGAGCTGGTCTGAAACCTCTTCGTGCATTTATCACACTTGTATGGCCTCTCCCCAGTGTGGCTCCTCTGGTGGATGATGAGGGTGCAATTGTACCTGAAGCCCTTCCCGCAGTCGGGGCAGTGGAAGGGCCTCTCCTCTGTGTGAGTGCGCTGGTGCTTGATGAGATTGGACTTGGTGTAAAACATCTTCCTGCATTTATCACACTCGTAGGGACCTTCCCCCATGTGGCTCCTCTGGTGTTTGATCAGGTCAGGACGCTTGCAGAAGCTCTTCCCACACTCGGGACACTTGTAGGGCTGTTCCCCTGTGTTTCTCCTCTGGTGTCTGCTCAGTTCATAGCTCCTTCTGAAGCTCTTCCCACACTGCCCACACTCGTAGGGCCTCTCCCCCGAGTGGATTACCATGTGGATGATCAGGCCGGAGCTATGGCTGAAGCTCTTCCCACACACCCCACATGTATAGGGCCTCTCCCCTGTGTGGCTCCTCTGGTGTTTGATCAGGTCAGGACGGTTGTAGAAGCTCTTCCCACACTGGGGACACTCATGGGGCCGTTCTCCCGTGTGGATCCTCTGGTGTCTGCTCAGTTCAGAGTTCCTCTTGAAGCTCTTCCCACACTGCCCACACTCATAGGGCCGTTCCCCAGTGTGGATTCTGCAGTGGATGATCAGGGAGGATCTCTTACTAAAGCTCTTCCCACATTCCGAGCACTTGTGGGGCTTCTCCCCATCCTGAACCTGCTCATGGACCCCCAGCTCCGAGCTGCGGTCGCCTCCCAGGCCCAGGGTGGGTCTTTCCTCCTCAGATACCTGTGATCTGCGTTTGCAGCCCCTCCTCATGCGGGATCTCCGGGGCTTTTCTTCCCCATTGGGTTCCTGCGCTGTGGAGCTGCACAAAACAGCCTCTTCCACGAGGTTCTGCTGTGGGGATTTGTCCTCCCTGCTCTCCATCCTCAGCTCCTGGTCTGGGGGAGGAAGGACAAGGAGAGGATGGGATTTGCCTCTGTGCCACAGGGAAGGGCAAGGAGATCCCCCCAGCGCATCCCCAGCAGGACAGCTGTGGCAGCAGGGTTGTCCTGCAGCCGGGGGCCGTGCTGGGCTGGGAGATGGAGCAGGAGAGAGGGGGAAAGGGGCACTGACTTCCTCCTCACCTGCCTGGGGCTCCCGGGCCATCTTTCTCTTCCTCATGGCCTCCTCCTTTTTCATCCTGCCAAGGTTTGGGAATAACGAATCCTGGTCTGGGGGGAAAAACAAGGCTTACTGAATTGGGTTTGATGTTCCCGCTGCCCAAGTGCAGCTGGAGAAGTCAGCGCCCCTTTCAGCCAAGGGGGGCCCGGAGCCCGCTCATCCCCAGCCTCCCGCACCCCTCCAGGCAGCCGGTTTGTCCCCCGGCTCCGGGATCGCCCCTCTGCGCTCTCCCCGCTCCGGGGCTCCCGCGTTCCCCCCCGGCTCTCCCGGGCGTCCCCAAACTCGAGATCGCCCCTGGGCCCGCCGGTACCGGGCGATCGCAACGTGGGACCCCCCCCAAGATCCCTGCAGGGGCATTTCCGGCCGAGCTTTGGCGTCCCGCCAAACATTCCCTGCCTTGCAAAAAAAACATCCCGGAGACCCCTCCGATGGATTTGGGGCGAGCTCCCCCAGCCCGCTCACCTGCGGGTTCCGGCTGAGCGGGCGATGCTGGCGGATCCGGGAGAGCGGCGGGCTGAGCGGGGAAACCGCGGGGTGTTGGTGCTGCTCTTCCTCCTCCTCCTCTGTCGCTCCTCTTCCTCCCACTCCTCCTCCGCTCCCAGCCCGGCCCGGGCTATGCAGACCCCCCAAAGCAGCCGCGCTCTGACCTGGGCGGGTTTCACAGCGGGCCCGTCCCGCGCGGCACTGGGAGCGATCCTGGGAGCACCGAGAGCGATCCTGAGAGCAGCGTTAAGGAACTGGGAGCGCTTTCCCTGCCAGTGCCGCTCTTACTGGGAGCACTGGGAGGGAACTGGGAACAAACAGCGCCTGGAGGAGGCTGCAGCCGGCGGTGGGCGGGGCCAAACCGCAGGGAGTGGTTATGGAAATACGGGAGCGATCGCGAGCTGGGATTGGTGGGCGGGAGCAGCGCGGGGTTTGCTCGGTTGTGTGAGGGCCGGGGGGGGGCCGGAGCGATGGCGGCGGCGTGCGGTGAGAGGGGACGGAGAGCGGGAATGGGGACAGGGAGCGGGAATGGGGCTGGGGAGTGAGGATGAGAATGGGGACAGGGACCGGGGATGGGGACAGGGAATGGAGATAGAGAGCGGGAATGGGGACAGGGACCGGGGATGGGGATGGGAATGGGGACAGGGACTGTGAATGAGACCTGGGATGGGAATATGGGAACGGGAGGGGGAACATGGAAACAGCAACCGCAGAGAGAATATGGGCTGGGGATTGGTGCTCCAAAGTATCCCAGTGAAAGCCAGCAGGGGCTGTGAGCTCTGCAGCTGGGCCTCCCCTGCGCTGCTGCGGCCCAGGGCCCAAAGGCGGGAGCTGCAGCCTCGCTCCTGTCTCAAGAACAGGAGCCTCCTCCAGGCCCATGGCCCCTGCATGGCCCCAGCGTGAGGGAGGGCTCTCAGGCACAGCGGCTGCTGGCAGGAGGGGCTGCTCCGGCCAGCCGGGGGCCTCTGAGAAATGCCCAAAGCCTTGTGCTCTCTGCAGCTGGCCAAGGACAGCAGCAGGGCTGAACGGTTCGTGTGGCACAGCCGGCCCGAGCTGTGCAGCCCTCAGGGCCCCATGGGAGAGGCGGCCCTCGGGAATGGGACCGGGAGTACGGGACTGGGACCAATACTGGGATCGGGCATGGATACAGGGACAGGAAATACGGGACTGGGGACAAGGACATGAATGGGGACAGGGACCAGGACTAGGACCAGGAATGTGGGAGAGGGACCTGGAATGGGACCAGGAATGGGAATATGGGAACAGGATAGGGAATACAGGAATGGAAATCTCAGAGGAGCATTGGGACCAGGAATAGGAACAGGACAGGGAATGTGGGACAGAAACAGAAATTGAGACCGGGAGTGGGATTCACGCTGGGATGGGAGCACAACGTGTCCCAGAGCAGGGTGACATGGGAACGGGAGGGAGAGAGGGATCCTGCACAGGGGACACTGGGAACTGAGAGGGGGGACATGGGGACAGTCCTGGGCCAGGGGCTCCTTGATCAGCTGCCCCAGAACCTCCACCGGGGTCTCCCAGTGCAGCTGGAACTGCTCGGCCTGGGGTGCCCAAAGGCCTGAGCAACCCCCAAGTCCCTCCCAGGAAACCTCAGCTCCCTCTAATCCAGCATCCCCCACATCCCCTGCAAGATTCCCCCATGTCCCCATCCTTGCCTTAGTTCAACATCTTTATTTTTACCCAGTTTTTGGTTTTTTTGAAAGGACAAAGAGAAATTAAAAGACAATCAAGGGTGCCGGGAGCCAGGATGAATTGGAGCCCCCCAGGCAGGTGTCTTCCCAACATGGATCACCAGCACCAAGGATCACCGGGGCTCTGCCCACCTCGGGTCACTGGGGATCATCCGGCGTGGACTGTCCCATGGGGGATGGAGCTGGAGCAGTGCACGGAGCTCTTCCCGCACTCAGGGCACTCACAGGGCTGCCCTTAGTGGTGCCTCCATTGGTGTTGGGTCAAGGCTGAGCTCTGGCAGAAGCTCTTCCCACACTTGGGACACTCATGGGCCTGTGACATCACAAGGAGCGGAGATGGATGTCAGGCACCCACCAAAGCTGCTCTCAATCCCTTCCAGAGATGGCGAGGAGAAAATAGAATGAAGTCTTCATGGGTTGAGTTAAGGACTGGGACAGATCACTCAGCAAATGCCATCATGGGCAAAACAGTTCAAAATTAGAGACATTAATTGAATTTATTACTATCAATCAGAGCAGGATAGTGAGAAGTAAAATAAAGCTTTAAAAACACCTTCTGCCCATCCCTCCCTCCCTCCCTCCCTCCCAGCTCTGCCTCCTCCCCCAGTGGTGCAGACAGACAGGCATGGGGGTTCTGCTCAGTTCATTCCTGTTATTTCTCCTGCTACTCAAGGAGAGGAGTCGTTCCCCTGCTGCACCATGGGGTCCCTGCTGGAGACACTTCTCCATGAACTTCTCCAAGGTGAGTTCATCTCAGGGACAGCAGCTCTTCACAAACTGCTGCAGCGTGCCTCACTCTCCCATGGGCTCACGTGGACAGACCCTGCTCCAGCGTGGGCTCCTCTCTCCATGGGTTTGCAGGCCCCTGCCTGGTCCCTGCTCCAGCACAGGTTTCTCATGGGGTCCCAGCCCCTGCTCAGGCACCCCCTGCTCGAGCACGGGCTCCTCCAGGCGCTGCAGGTGCATCTCTGCTCTCCGTGCCCTCCATGGGCTGCAGGGGCTCAGCTGCCTCCCCAGGGGCTGCCCCAGGGAATCTCAGGGCAATCAGCTCCAGCCCCTGCAGCAGCTCCTGCCCCTTGTCCTGCCCTGCCCTGGGGTGTGCAGAGTTGTTCCTCTCTCACATGTTCTCACCCTGGTCACAGCTACAACTACATGATAACCGATTTTTGTACATCTCTTATCCCAAAGGTGTTACCACCATTTCTAACAGGCCCAGCCTTGGCCAGTGGCTGGTCTGTCCTGGAGCTGGCTGGAATTGCGTTTGTGGGACATGGAGGAGCAGCTGCTTCCATCATCCTCTCACAGAAGGTGCTCCTAGGGCCACCTCTTACCAAAACCTGGCCATGCAATCCTAGTATAAGTATGGTCGGGTTTTATTACCATTATTCATTCTTATTATTCCTATTTTGGCTACTTTTGCTCTTAATATTACAGTTACTACTAGTATTTTTTAATCTTTTTGACTCTATATTAAGAGTGTCTTTAGTAGAACTTGAAACAAGAGTTCTTAATTGCAAGTAGAAGTTATCCTTTTTCCAGCCTCTTGCCCTGCCCTGTTCTGTGTCATTGCTGTATGTGAAGCTGCTGCTGCCAGGGCTCCCCATTTCCCTGGTTTGGGAAATTCGATGGCATTGCTCACATGTCAGAAAGAGAGGGCTCATTCCAATCAAATGCATTGCCTGAACTCTTCTAGTCCCAGTGTTGGAACCTTGTTTTGTAATGTTGTTGACTTTCCCAGTATCTGTTAATATTTGTGATTTTATGACAAAATGTTCTTGGATGTGATTTTGCAAAATTCTGTAGTCAGCTTTCAGTTTGCTCTGGGATTTCTTAATGGTGTGTCAGAACTGAATGCAGCATTTTGGGTAGTGTGAAAAACAAGTTCAGTCTCCTGTGAAAATTTAAAAAGTGTAATAAAGGACAATAGGAGACAGGGACCATAGAGCAAAGGGTATTCTGGCCGGGTGCACCTTGGCCAGAATATGCAGATTCCTTGGTTGTGGATTTAGTCCTTTTTTATCACCTCCAGTTTTTGGGTCTTGGTCCACACTGTCTTCATACAGTGAGTGCTGATATTTGACATACCTGTAGCAGGTGTCCTCATCCTATGTTCATTGGATGTTATCCCATCCAAGCAGGCATTTTAACATAAGCAGAGCTATTTCACTTCTATGTCTAAGCTTAATTAACAAGAGAAAGAAAAACCGTATAACAAAGTTAGTTTAACATTACACATATAAAATCCATTTTTTATTTGCGAAAAGCCATTATTATAATATGTATCTCTAACAGGTGGGAAGCCTTCACTCAGAGCTAGCATTGTCTCAGCAGCAGCTGGTTTTGCACTTGTAAGCACAGATAACAAAGATTCCATGAGCTGAATGTTCCGCCTCGTTGCGGAACCTCCAGTGGTGGCTGGAGCCAGCTGCCCTGGGAGATGCAGGTGGTGCCGGGCGGGCAGTGGCCGGAGCCCATGGCAGGGGCTGGCCATGGACACTGACCCTGGGCTGAGCAGGGGCTCGGGGCCCTGCGGCGCCGGGCGCTCGGGGCCCGCTCACGCTGGGATCCTGCGGGAGCCGGGAGCAGCGAGAGAGCCCGGGCCAAACATCAGCACCCGTGAGTCATGATTTAAAAATTTAGGATTTTAGGTGAGAGTTAGAACCAGTTCATAATGAAGTTAGATAAACCAACAATAGGTTAATGATTATTAGATGCTTAAGCTAAAGCTAATTGTTATGAGCTCATTTGTTGAAGGAAGTGGAGCAAGTGAACCATTATAGGAGCATATTGAAACCAGTAGAACAATGCCCAGCACCTGGACTCTTGTGTCAATCCATCAGCAAGCAGGGGGCCTTGGATTGTGCCAGAGGGTCACAGAGACCTGACCAAGACCTTCCTGTCTTCTTCCCCGGGACCACTGACCCAATTCAGGACCACCAACCCAATTCAAGAGAAGAATGAAGGACTCATGAAGGACTAATGATCTCATTTTTATACAAAGTGTTATAAATGAGAAGCTTGACTAGGTCAGTATTCAAGCAGCAATCAATTTATTAATTAATATGGTAAAGTATGAGCAATACAGCGCTGGGTACAGTGGGGGAAGTTTTCCCTCCAACTGCACACCGATACTTGAGGCTTACAGGTATTTATACAGGTACTCATAAGCTTTCTCAGCAGTTTCTATTCCAAATTTTTTACTCATCAGCAGTTTCTATTTCCAATTTTTATGGCACAATTCTATACACTATCGTGATTTCGTTTTTCTCAGGATGTATCCCAGAAAGGAGTATCCCGACATGATGGTGGTCTGGCTTCTGAAAGAAGAAAGAAGTATCCCAGCTGATGCGGTTCCAGTTTCCAGATGTGGGTCCACCTTTTAATTGCAAGGACTATAAATCTCATAACAGTGATGTGCAGCTTCCCTTGGTCAAAACTATTAATCATTGAGTTGATGTTCATCTTCCTTTCTCAAGCTGCTTTTCACTGTTTTGTTAAGGCGTGAGATAAGCATGTTTCCTTTTTATATATTCTAAAGCTATAGTTTCAAAGATCCTTACTACAAGCAATAGTCTAAAATTATACTTCAAAAGGTTATTATTGCAAAACTCTTTCGGGCTTAGCTACAAGCAGAAAGTTCCTGTCTAAAAGCAACATCCTTAAAGCTTTAATTCAAATGCTCCTAAATCAACTTAAGACTTATAAAGGTTAATTGTGAACAAAGGATAGGTTCAAAGGCCTTCTTCCATGCTTTACTTTTCTCAGTTATTATTAGAATTCGTCTTTACAAGTGTCCCATGGTCGGTTTCCACAGATATCACAATCACAAATACACACGTTGCCTGTATGTACCTGACATAAAACACAGCTTTGTATTTCACAAAAGCGGGCATGGGAGGTGCTGGGGTTATGCATATGTATTGTTTTTGGGAAATAAATAGAAGGCAAAAGTCCTTGTGTGGTGCAGTCACACATTTCAGGGACGACCCTGCCTGTGCCACCCGCCGGTGTAATAAACACACCACTTTCTAACGGTGACGAGTTCGAGAGTCTTTGCCCACGATTTTTGGTTTTACCGATTCACCGGGGCCGGCACGGGCGGGGAGGGGGCACAGCCCAGGGGGGCCCGCAGAGCCTCCCTGGTCCAAATCCCCACCTGCAGCAGCGGGGAAGCTCCCAGGATCTTGGGGGCAGGGAGGAGCCGCAGGCAGGTGTTCCAGGTGCCTCCTTTGGGGCAGGGTTCTGTCCCGATATGAGGGAATTCCCGCAGGCTGGGCGGGCTGGGGCCGCTGCCGAGCACCGCCGCCTTTCCCCGGGAGCCGCTGGGCAGAGCTCTCTGCTCGGGGGGCTCCGGGACAGAATTTTGGGGGGTCTCGGTGTTGGTGCCGGCAGAGCCCCGGCGCTGGGCCGGGGGATGCGTGGGACCCTCCCGCGGGGGTGGTTGGGCTGCATTGTCAGCCCCGAGCCACGGGGGGATCGCCCGGCACCGGCGGGGCTGGAGAGCGGAGAGGGCGGCACCGGAGCTGGGGGAGCCTCTGCAGCCTGCGGGGTCGGACATCCCGATAAGGGGGACCCCGGGAGCCTGGAACGTGGAGCCCGGATAAGGGGGGACCGGACCCTCTGCAGCCTGGAGATGTTGGGACCATGGACAAGAGAGACCCATGGGTACCCCGGGGCCCTGAAACGGGGACCCCGCACAGCTGGTACCCCTGGAGCCCCTCTGACACCCACCTGGGAGCCCAGGGAAGGGAACCTCTGGGATTGCCAGGAGCCCCTGCAGCCCAGAGAGAGGAGATGCCAATACACACTGGAGCTGCAGAAGGCCAGGCAGGAGGGACCCCTGAACCCCAAAGTGGAGAGACCAGAGTGGGGGAACTCCTGGGTGAATGGTTGTTTGGTGAATCCTGGTGGTTTGGGTTTTTATGAGGGTGGCTGAACCTTGGTGGTCTGGAAGTTTTTATGAACACCAGACACCTGGTGACTTCTGGAGATGGAATTGGGCAGGAGGAACACCCAAGGCAACACACTCACACCTTGTTTTTCCCCCATAAAAGGAATTTCAGTTCCCAAAGTTTGACCAGATGGAGGAGGAGACCATGAGGAAGATGAAGATGCCCTGGCAGCCCCAGGCAGGTGAGGAAGAAGTCAGTGCTGCTTTCCCCCTCTCTCCTGCTCCATATCCCAGCCCAGCATCCATCCTTCCTTCCTTCCTTCCTTCCTTCCTTCCTTCCTTCCTTCCTTCCTTCCTTCCTTCCTTCCTTCCTTCCTTCCTTCCTTCCTTCCTTCCTTCCTTCCTTCCTTCCTTCCTTCCTTTTTTCTTGTTCCTTTCTCTCCTTGTCCTTCCTCCCCCATAAAAGGAGCTGAGGCCAGAGACCAGGGAGGACAAATCTCCACAGCAGAACCTCATGCAAGAGGCTGTTCTGAGAGGCTTGACAGTGCAGGAATTCAATGGGGACAAAAAGCCCCGGAGATCCCACATGAAGAGGGGCTGCATACCCAGCCCAGGAAGCCGTGAGGAGGAAAGGCCCACCCTGTGCTGGGAAAGCAGCCGGAGATCCAGATGCAGCTTGGAGCTGGTGGTTCCTGAGCACCTTCATGGCAGGGAGAAGCCCTACAAGTGCTTGGAATGTGGGAAGAGCTTCAGGCAGTGCTCCAGCCTCCTCACCCACCTTTGCATGCAACTGGCTGGGACCCCCTTTGAGCAGGGCCAGATTTGAACCAGAATATTGGGAGTCCCAGAGCCAGCCTGGTGAGTGCACCCAGCACATCCCCCACTGACCCAGAGCTGCTGCAAGTCCAGAACAGTCAGAGCAGGGCTGAGCTTGGGGAGCCAGGGGCTGGGGGGATCCACAGCAATAGGGGTTATCTGTGGGGCTGGGATGGGAGTTGTCCTCCTGCTCCTCACCGTCCTGTGCTTCCCAGAGCCCAGTCACTCCCAGTATGATCCCTGTTGCCCTCAGCATGGTTCCAATTGCTCCCTGTTGCTCCCAGTGTGATACCAGTGGCCTCCAGTATAGTCCCAGTCACTCTCTGTATGATCCCAGTCTCTTCCACCAGGGTCCCAGTCATGCCCAGTTGCCCTCAGTGTAGACCCAGTCACTCCCACTTGCTCCCAGTTGCCTCCAGCATGGTCCCTGTTGTCCCCAGCATGGTCCCTGTTGTTCCCAGTGTGGTCTCTGTCACTCCCAATAGGGTTACAGACACTCCCAGTATATCCCAGTTCCCCAGCATGCTTGGAGTCATTCCCAGTCACTCCCAGTATGATCTCCGTATGATCCCAGGAGAGCCCAGTCACTTCCAGTAGGAGCTCATGGAGCAAAGCTCATGGAACGCCTGGAGGATCCAGCCAGAGGAGGGTCCCTCCAAGTTCTCTGGCTGCAGGAAGAGCCCCAAGGAGCAGAGGTCCCCCCAGAGCCACCACCCCAAGTAGGAGGTGGTGACAGCTCTGCAGCCTGGGGCCCTGGGACCACCAGGGGGGACTCCAGATGGACACCCCAGCAAGTGGCTCACACAGCCCCTCCTCCTGTGCCCAAAACCCCACCCTTGGCATCCCTCATCCCTCCCTGCAGTCCCCTCTCCAACATCTGCAGGCCTCTGGCAAGAGCCCAAAGGGATGGAAGTGCCTAAAACGGTGATGAAGTGCCTGAGCTGCTCCCAGCTGTGGATGTTCCTGTCCACAAACCTCTCCTGGTCAGTGCCATGTGGAGATGGGAGGGGGATTAGGGAATGCTGAGAAGACTGAAAGGGGGTTTTGTGTGCTCTAAGGGGCATTTTTGGTTGTGGGAGGGTGTAGGGGGCTTTTGAGGGGTCTGTGGGGGAGTTTTCGGAGTTCTGGAAGAGCTGTGCAGCTTAGAAAGAATTTGGGTGGGTCTTTGGAGGGGTGGAAAAGAGTTTTGATGGATCTTGAGGCCATTTCTGTTGCATGGAATGGTTTGCGGAGTGAGCAGAGATCTGTGGGGTGGTTTGAGCGGGCTGGGAGGGGGTTTTAGGCAGTCATGACCCCCCAGACCTCCCCCAGAGCTGCCACCAGACCCTGCCCACAAGGTGCTCCTGGGGGACAGGGGCTCCATGTAGGGGTTTGTCTTCCTGGCACCCTGGGAGTGAGGGGGTATCCCCCTGGGCTGTGTGTGACCCTCCCATCCTGGTGTCAACCCCTTGTCCCTCCCCACAGGGCTCCTGCCCCAGCTCCTGCTCCCCCCAGAGGGAATTTGGGGAGGGGGCACAGGGAGTGCACAGCCCCCACCAGGGGATGACGCCGGCCCAGCCCCTTTGTTCAGCACCAAGCTGGGCCTGGGGCCGCAGGAGGAAGAGGCTGATGGGAAGCAGATCCTGCAGCTGGGACAGTGCTTGGGGTCAGGGCAAGGTCCTGCCCTGCACACCTGGCTCATGTGTGACTCTGCCCCGGGACATTCCCATCCCCACGGATCCCATCCCCAAAATCTCACTCCTGGGATCCCTCACCCGTCTCTGCAGTCCCTGCTCCAACACCTCCAGGCCTTTGGGAAGGGCCCTGATGCCGACAGAACTTAGATCAAAGTTACAAAGTGATGATATAGCTTGAGTTATATCAGTATAACCTGATAGATCTATATAACCTGATATCAATAGAACCTAAATAATGACTTTTTATATATCTATATAAATATACCTAGATAACCTGAATCATCCTTTTTTTGTGCCTATACTACCTGATATAAATAACGTTCTACAATGCAATGGCTTGTATATGGTTAACTAGTTGCTTAATGCTGAATAGACAGAAAAAAAGAAGAAAAAAAACTCACCAGATGCAGAGCTTCAGAGATAGATAGGGATAGTACTAACGAGAAATTGTGCAAAGCCAATGAGCCACAAAACAAACAATTTAGGCTGGTTAGGACCAGACACACCAAGGAACACCACAATTGTACATGCTCCAAAGACCAAGTTGAAAACTTCATATGTGAAGAAAGCCTTGGAAGCCTTTCCTAAAATGCCCTCCCTGCAAAACCAGGACAATCACAGACTCCTGACAGACCCCAGATTAAGAATATGCAAGTGCACTGCAGAAGAACTATAATACCCATGAGCTCATACAATGTAAATGAGTCCTGCAGGTAGGTGATGATGTTGTAGTGACACAGAGACACTGAGCAACACCTACTGCATGAATATACCACAGCACGTGACATCTAAAAACACCGCTCTGTGGGGATTTATTTCCAGCTTATATTTCGGGCATCAGCCCAGAGGGATGGAATTTCCTACCCAGGGTCCCGACCAAGCCCAAGTGTGGATTTGCAGCCCACAATTTTCCCAGTTTGCCTCTCCTTTTCCCCACGTTGGATTCCCCCTGCCCCCATCAGATGGGAGCAGCTGAGAGCCCCACACTGCCCATCCCGGCCTCTCCCAGCTCAATCCCTGCTCCTGTGACTTCTAGAGATGAGCTTGGGCAGGAGGAATCCCCAGCTCTCACACCTTGTTTTCACCCCCAAACCAGGATTTGCCATTCCCAAACCTTGGCCCGATGCAGGAGGAGGAGGAGGCCGTGAGGAGGAAGAAGAAGATGTCCCGGGAGCTTAATGCAGGTGAGGAGGAAGTCAGTGCCCCTTTCCCCCTCTCTCCTGCTCCATCTCCCAGCCCAGCATGGCCCCCGGCTGCAGGACAACCCTGCTGCCAAAGCTGTCCTGCTGGGGACGCACTGGGGGGATCTCCTTGCCCTTCCCTGTGGCACAGAGGCAAATCCCATCCTGTCCTTGTCCTTCCTCCCCCAGACCAGGAGCTGAGGATGGAGAGCAGGGAGGACAAATCCCCACAGCAGAACCTCGTGGAAGAGGCTGTTTTGAGCAGCTCCACAGCACAGGAACCCAAGGGGAGGAAAAGCCCCGGACATCGGGCACAAGGACAGGCTGCAGACACAGATCACAGGGATCTGAGGAGGAAAGACCCACCTGAGGCTGGGGAGGCTGCCGGAGCTCAGAGCTGGGAGCAACTTCAAGATGAGGAGAAGCCCCACAAGTGCTTGGAATGTGGGAAGAGCTTCACCCAGAGCTTCAGTCTCCTCATCCACCTTCAGGTGCACACGGGGGAGCAGCACTGGGAGTGTAGGGAATGTGGCAAGAGGTACAGGCACAGCTCTCACCTCTACCACCAGCGGGTGCACACCACAGAACGGCCCTACACGTGCTTGGAATGTGGGAAGAGCTTCAGTGTTCAATCCACTCTGACCTCCCACCAGAAGGGCCACACTGGGGAACAGCCCCACGAGTGTTCCAAGTGTGGGAAAAAGGCTCGGAGCAGTTTGGATCTCCTCAAGCACAGCACACCAGTGTCCCGAGTGTGGGAAGACCTTCAGGCACAGCTGTAGCTCGACCCAACACAAACAGAGCCACCACTAAGAGAAGCCCTGAGAGTGCCCTGAGTGTGGGAAGAGCTTCCTGTGCTGCTCCAGCTCCAAGCCTCCATCCTCATGGGAGGATCCACGCTGGATGATCCCCAGTGACCCCCGGTGGGCAGAGCCCAGTGATCCGTGTTGGGAAGGCACCTGCCTGCGGGCTCCACATCCTCCTGGGTCCCCATGGCCTGGGTTTTCTTTTCATTTCTCTTTGTCCCTTCAAAACACCCAAAACTGGAGTAAAAAAATAAAGACATTGAACTAAGACATTGATGGGAACATGGGGGGATCTTCCAGGAGATATGGGGGATGCTGGGTCCAAGGGATTTGAGGGTTCCTGGAAGGGATCTGGGGGTTGCTCAGGGCTTTGGGCACCCCAGGCTGAGTGGCTCCAGCTGTGCTGGGAGGCCCTGGTTGTGGTTCCGGGGCAGCTGATCAAGGCCCCCCTGCCCTGGGACTGTTCCCATCTCCTTCATCCTGGTTCCTGAAGTTCCCTGTGCAGGATCCCCCTCTCCCTGCTGTCACCCTCCTTTCCTCTGGCCCATTCCCATGTCACCCCACTCTTGGGCCCATTCTGCTTCCATGCCAGTCTGAATCCCATCCCCAGTCTCATTCCCTGTCCCTGTCCTGTCTGTCTGGTTGTATTGCACTAAGTTGTTTCTTTAGCTATTGTTCTGCACTGGCTGGTCTTGTTATTTTGCAGGGAACAGTTGATGTTGTATCACATGGTTTGTCCCGCACACACCCCTCTCCCCCAAAGCCCTGGTGCTGCTCTTGCCCTGGGTTACTCCTCCCCTCAGCCCTCCCATCAGTTGTATCCCATTGGCCGTGGCCTCTCTCCTCCGCCCCCCCTTCCCTGGGTTTAAAATCACCCGCGATCAGACACTTGATCTCTTTTCCCCTCTTGGACCTGCCTGGAGTGATTCCACAGTTAAGGTGGGATTTTTGGTCCCGAGGAGAAAAGCGCCTCCCGTCCTTTACTTTGGTCCTTGTGAGATAGTGAGGCCCGGGGGTCCAGAGCTGCCAAACCAGACCCCACAAAGGCCCTGGGTCAACCTTACATTGCCGTTCCCATATTCCAAATCCCATATTCCCCGTCCTGTTCCCATATTCCCAATCCTACTACTGGTCCCGCATTTCCATTTCTGTATTCCCTGTCTCACTTCCCATATTCCCATTCCCACTCTCACTCCTGTATTCCTGTTCCCAATCCCGATACCATCTTCCTAATCCCCGTCCCATATTCTCTCTCTGGTTCCTGTTTCCATATTCCCTGTCCCATTCCAATATTCTCATCCCCAGTCCCATTCCAGGTCCCTCTCCCATTTTCTCAATCATATCCCAGTCCCTGTCCCCATTCCTGTCCCTGTTCCCATTTCCGGTTGCAGTCCCAATAGCCTGGTCCTTGTTCTGGTCCCTGTCCTTATCTCCTATTTCCAGTCTCATTCCTGGTTCTATTCCCAGTCCCTGTCCCCATTCCTGGCCCTGTTCCCAATCCCGGTCCTGTCCTGGTCCCATTCCTGAGGGCTGCACAGCTCGGGCTGGCTGTGGCACACGAACCGTTCAGCCCTGCTGCTGTCCTTGGCCAGCTGCAGAGAGCACAAGGCTTTGGGCATTTCTCAGAGACCCCCAGCTGGCCGGAGCAGCCCCTCCTGCCAGCAGCCGCTGTGCCTCAGAGCCCTCCCTCACGCTGGGGCCATGCAGGGGCCATGGGCCTGGAGGAGGCTCCTGTTCTTGAGACAGGAGCGAGGCTGCAGTTCCCGCCTTTGGGCCCTGGGCCGCAGCAGCGCAGAGGAGGCCCAGCTGCAGAGCTCACAGCCCCTGCTGGCTTTCAGTGGGACACTTTGGAGCACCAATCCCCAGCCCATATTCTCTCTGTGGTTGCTGTTTCCATCTTCCCCGTCCCGTTCCCATATTCTCCTCCTTGGTCCTTGTCTCCATTTGCGGACCCTGTCCCCATCTCTGGTCTCATTCCTGGTCCCTATTCCCTTCCCCGGTCCCACTGCCGGCCCCCATTCTCGGCTCCTGTCCCCATTCCCGGTGCCATTTCTGGTCCCTGCCCGCATTCCCGGTGCCATTCCCGGTCTCCATTCCCAGTCTCTGTCCTTAGTCCCAGTCCCCTTCCCCGGTCCCATTCTCGGTCCCTATATCCATTCTTGGTCCCGTTCCCACTCCCTGTCCCCATTCCCGCTCTCCGTCCCCTCTCACCGCACGCCGCCGCCATCGCTCCGGCTCCCCCGGCCCTCACACAACCGAGCAAACCCCGCGCTGCTCCCGCCCACCAAAGCGATCGCTCCCGTATTTCCATAACCACTCCCTGCGGTTTGGCCTCGCCCACCGCCGGCTTCAGCCGCCTCCGGGCGCTGTTTGTTTCCAGTTCCCTCCCAGTGCTCCCAGTAAGAGCGGGACTGGCAGGGAAAGCGCTCCCAGTTCCTTCCCGCTGCTCTCAGGATCGCTCCCGTTGCTCCCAGGATCACTCCCAGTGCCGCGCGGGGCAGTGTTGTTTCGGAACGCGCGCCCAGGACAGAGCGCGGCTGCTTTTGGGGGTCGGCACTGCCCGGGCCGGGCTGGGAGCGGAGGAGGAGCGGGAGGAAGAGGAGGGACGGAGGAGGAGGAGGAAGAGGAGGAGCGGGAGGAAGACGAGCGGCAGAACCACGCTGGTTTCCCCGCCGCCTTCCCCCGCCCCTCAGGCCGAAGCTCCCCCGGTTCCTGCTGCATCGCCCCCTCCAGCAGCCGCAGGTGAGCGGGATGGGGGAGCTCGCACCAGATCCATCGTGGGGGGGTCTCCGGGAGGGTTTTTTCATGGGGCAGGGGATGTTTGACTCTTGCAGGACCCCAAACCCGAACCGTAAATTTCCCGTGGAGAGAGCATGGGCGGTCTCACGTTCGCCTGGTACCGGCGGGCACGGGGGCGATCTCGGGCTGGGAGATGCCCGGGAGAGCCGGGGGGAGCTCGGGAGCCCCGGAGCGGGGAGAGCACAGAGGGGCGATCCCGGAGCCGGGGGACAAACCGGCTGCCTGGAGGGGTGCGGGATGCTGGGAATGAGCGGGCTCCGGGCCTTCTGAGGCTGAAAGGGGCGCTGACTTCTCCAGCTACACTTGGGCAGCGGGACCATGAAACCCAACACGCTCAGCCCTTGTTTTCCCCCAAACCAGGATTTCCCATTCCCAAAACTTGGCCCGATGCAGGTGGGGGAGGCTGTGAGGAAGATGTCCCAGGAGCTTAATGGAGGTGAGGAGGAAGTCAGTGCCCCTTTCCCCCTCTCTCCTGCTCCACCTCCCAGCCCAGCACGGCCCCCGGCTGCAGGACAACCCTGCTGCCAAAGCTGTCCTGCTGGGGACGCACTGGGGGGATCTCCTTGCCCTTCCCTGTGGCACAGAGGCAAATCCCATCCTCTCCTTGTCCTTCCTCCCCCAGACCAGGAGCTGAGGATGGAGAGCAGGGAGGATAAATCCCCACAGCAGAACCTCGTGGAAGAGGCTGTTTTGAGCAGCTCCACAGTACAGGAATCCAATGGAGAGGAAAAGTCATGGAGAACCCACACGAGGAGGGGCTGCAAACGCAGATCACGGGGATCTGAGGAGGAAAGTCCCACCCAGGGCCGGGAAGGCGGCCGGAGCTCGGAGCTGGGGGTCGATGAAGAGCTTCAGGATGGGGAGAAACCCCACCAGTGCTCGGAATGTGGGAAGAGCTTCAGCAAGAGAACCTACCTGGTCTGCCATTGGAGAATCCACACAGAGGTGCGGCCATACGAGTGTCCCGAGTGTGGGAAGAATTTCAGGACGAGCTCCCACCTGACTGTCCACCAGAGGAGCCACACCGGGGAGAAGCCCTTCAAGTGTGGAGAGTGTGGGAAGAACTTCAGCAAGCGCTGCAACCTGAACTATCACCAGCGGATCCACACTGGAGAGAGACCCTACGAGTGTGATAAATGCAGGAAGAGGTTTCAGAGCAGTTCTCATCTCCTCCAGCACCAGCCAATTCACTCAGATGAGAGGCCCTTCCGCTGCCCTGACTGCAGGAAGGGCTTCAATGACAATTCCACCCTCATCAGGCACCGCTGCATCCACAGCGGAGAGGGGCCTGGGGCGAGGCCGTACGTGTGTGATCAATGCTCGAAGGCGTTTAAGACCAGCTCCCATCTCCTGCTGCACCTGCACACTCACACAGACGAGAGGCCCTTCCGCTGCCCCGACTGCGGGAAGGGCTTCCAGCGCAACACCCACCTCACCAGCCACCGGCGCATCCACACCAGGGAGATGCCCTATGAGTGTCCCAAGTGTGGGAAGAGATTCCGGCAAAGCTCAGCCGTGACCTACCATCAATGGAGGCACCACTAAGGGCAGCCCTGTGAGTGCCCTGAGTGCAGGAAGAGCTTCCTGTGCTGCTCCAGCTCCATCCCCTATGGGAGATCCACCCTGGCTGATCCCAAGTGACCCCCGGTGATCTGTGGTGCTGGTGATCCCTGTTGGGAAGACACCTGGCTGGGGGGCTCCACATCCTCCTGGCTGCCTGTGGGTACCTGCACACATCCATGGACCAACATCCAAAATCCATTTTGTAGAGCTGATTTGTCCACTCCTGACCCCAGAAAAAAATCACTTTTTGCCTCTTCTGGTGGCCTTAACAACACTGGATAGCCTTGGAAGTCTTCTCCAACATAAATCCATCGTTTTAATTCTCTCTGGCCCACAGATATCTACCACAGCCCAATTTGGAGGGACTGGGGCAAAACCCTCAATATTCCAATTTTCAAGACAGTTGGGTGGCAACCCCTCCAAAAAAGGTTCTTCCCCCCCACCAAGCACATGGATGTTCTGCCAGCAGGAATATATAAATCGTTTTTTTTTTTTTGCCTTGAAATGAAAAGGTTTCTGTTCATTCCTTTCAAAGCCCTGAAACTGAGGTAGAAATAAAGGCGTTGAACTAAGGCGTGCATGGGGACATGTGGGGGACAATGGCATGTGTAGGGCCATGGGGGGACATGGCGGAACACAGACATGGATGGGAACATGGCAAACATGCACAGGGACATGAACTGGGACAGCGTCAATGCCAC